CTTCCCTCCTCGGATGCCTTGGGAGAGAAGAATACATAAATGAAATGACTTGATTGTCATGATTATGATGATGATCATCACCAATTCCGCCACCACGTCTGCCAACCAAGCAACCTCTCCGTGGACAGATTTCTTTCTTTCCTTCCTTCCTTCCTCCTTCCTACTTACTCATTCAATTCAATTCATTCCCATCTTGTTTGTGGTGGGGTTGCAATTTGTAGCACTTACGAACAGCGTGCATACATATACGCATGGTAAAGATGATCAATTTATGTAGAGTAAATTTTCATCCTGGTTTTAGTACAAAGTTTGAGATTGACCATGGAACGGTGAAAGTTTTGGAAATTGTGCATTTCATCATTAACAAAATACGATTCCCGAGTAAAAATTTGAACGGTTTTCCTGCAGAAATTTGGCCTAATTTTCCGCAGAAAAATATTGATCTTTATGCAGAGCGATTTGTGCAGGTTCTGTTCTGCAAAACAAAGCCAATAGAAATTTTCTGCAGGATTATGTAAAAAAAATATGCAGAATATCCAGCTTTTGTCGATTATTGCAGAATTCTTCACAGTGATTTCTACCCGGGTTTGCATAATTTTAGGAACCCTGTCCCAATTATTGTACATTTAATAAACGCGTGGGTCTTCCTCTCTCCTCCTTTAATATTTTGACCGTTTAATAGAGCAATTCCATTATTACCCTGTGAAAAAGTGCAGTGGTGGTTGTTTAGCGTCATAACATAATTCCATTCCACCCCCGTTCGTCGTTTACTGTGTGCATGCAGTTCTATGAGAGATGCTATCGTATCATTGTCATTGCCTCGCTGGGAGAAGAAATAAGAGGACGGAAACCACAAAGAAATAATAATAATAAGTAAAACTAAGTGGGAAATATTATCTCGAGAGCAGAAGGGGAACATATTATGGGGCCGAGGTGGAGGAGAAAGCTGGATCCACTTTGAAATAAGTCAACGTCTGCAAATCTGCTTCCTCTCCAACATCTGATAACAAATTCCACTTACTTTTACTTCCACCACCAGCATCACCAGTGACCGCGGAAGTCGTGGGGACAGAGGGACAATGTCCCCACGGTTAGATATTCGATGTCCCCATCATCTGCCCATGTTATGTAAACCCCTCCCTCCCCTATCCGATAATGTTAATGTCCCCACCCTTCCGCGGTCACTGACCACCACCACGACTACTTACACTACTATCCAGCCAGCCAGCTAATAACCAATGCAATGAGAGTAGTACCAGACCTAGACCGACTTGCGGTCGTCCTCCTCGTCCATTTGTAACAAACAAGGCTTGGTTCCAAACAAACAGAAAAGTGAGAGTAATAAACTATGACTAATCTGAGCGGGGAGAAGGCGAACACATTTCTGGAGAAAGAAGACGAAGGTTAGAGAAATTCTACACGGGGAAAGCTGAGAGTTTAATCATTTAGCGTTTCAACAAAGTTCACCCAGTTCACTGGCTGAAAGTGCTACACTTTTTGTATCAGGTTTTTTTGTGCGTATAACAGAATTCTTGCCGTTATCTATGCTTTTGTGTATTAATTCACGTCTGGAGAACGTATAGAGGAAAGAACAGCATGGATATGGATTGAATGAATGTTACAATAATTAATGTTGACAAGTTGAACGTGTTTCTTTCTTCGTGCGGTAATTGATACAGTGAATTATGGTTTCCCTTGATGTTGAAGCTTTTCCTGTTGTTTGTGCCAAAATGTGACGAACTATGACTACAATTGTTGTCAGTATGTACGTACCACACTAATTCATATTGCAACTCTTGTTTCACCGTATTTTTTTAAGATTATATAACCCAATATGGACTAGGTGCGAGATGAGATGAGATAACACTGCATTGCTGACCTGAAATGATACTCCTCCTTCTTTTGAGACGACTGGAGGCATATCGGATTCCCCACAGACAGAGACGCAGTTCATTCACTCAATCCAATTTTTTTGTCCTTGTGTAAGAAAGAGACACAATTCGATAAGGTAGTATTAGCAGGTAGTGCATCGTATTTCTACACGGATTCGATCATGTTGTTGTTGATCAAATAACCCAGAAATGATCGTCTTGTATGTGTAAGCAAGCCGCGAGATAATTGAGTGAGAGCGAGAGGCAGCTGCGATTTAGGCGACAATCAATCTCGACTTTGTCCCCAGAGTGGGTCTGTCCAATTAATCTATTTGTCATCCATCCATCCAGCCATCGCCTTCTCCTCGGTCATGATGCTTCTCAACTCGATCTAAATCTGGACTCCTTTCCAGAAGCCCTCAGTACAAGGATAACTTTCTCTATCATTACATTTCACCAGAAATCTCGATTTCCCCCATTTTTCTCCTATATATAATTCTCACCACAGGGGGTAGAGTTTCTTCTTCAGTATTTTTATCACTAGCGTAGTTAGTACTATATGGACCACACTTTTGACTGTATGCACACATTAGCATCATTAAATTTAAAAGCAGAGAAAGAACTCTTTGACTCTGCAAATGATAATGTAATGAAATGATACGGATCAGATGAGTGTGCAACTGCAAAGTGCTACGTTACCCAACTCTATCCCCGCACTTTGACTTTATATGTACGCATACACGAACTTTACTGGAAATGAATGATAGGATCTTCAAAGAGTGACGAAACGAGATTGATAAATGATCGCTTATTCATAATGTTTACATTTTCACTGACAGACCGACGAGCTGACTCGCAGGTTTGAATATTTATCTGTCGGCGAGTCATTTGCTGTCAATATATCAAAAATAATGCAAATCAGTTACGTAGATTTAATCACTAATTCGTTGTTTGTACCAGAAAAAATGCATAATTTAGCATGCATTTTTAGAATAAATTATAAACTTGAAGGAGATATTTATCAAATTTAATTTGATTTAAATGTCAATCTGAACTTTTAAATGATGTAAACGTGATCGGTATTTGTTTGACATACTTCATCCATTGTTTTAGAATCTTTGCAAACAAATTATAAACTTGAAGTAGATCTCAATTAGAATTTTACCTCAATTTGATTTAAATGTCAATCTGACATTATGTGATCGGTATTTGTTTCTGATTTATTATTTGGTTAAGACTTGGGCGACAAGTTGTTTTCACCAGAAAGTGAAATTCCATCAACAAATCACTCCCGCACCCGACAGACGAACTATTCACTGGGAAAATTCATCATTTCTGACTGACTGGTTTCGGGCTATATGCTTTTCTCGAATTTCTTCTCCGACCAGACAAGTGAACGGATGTCTTCACTTCACTTTCTCTCTCGCACAGCAATCACACTAAAACAACGGGAAGAAGAACTGGTGGTGAAAAGTAATTTGAATTTAGTGCAGTTGTAAAAAGTGGCAACTTTGCTGATAATGGTTTCGCCCAAGTTATGAGTGGCATATTTGGCATATTCGTGAACCAATCGCAAATTGAGTGAAAGAGTTGAAGGACTGGGCTCGAGCAGAGTAAAACATTTTATGGAAATGCAATGTCAACTTCTTTTACACGTGCAGTTTATCACTCAACTCGTACAGATTTAATGTCGGCTGACGGGATGAGGGTATAGTTTCGGAGGGAATGATGACATGTTAGATTCATATCGATTTGGAGAAGCAGGAGCATAGAAAGAAATAAGAAGTGGAACGGATCAACTTTCAATTAGTGAGTGGTTATCATTTTGATAAGTGAAATAAATACATAAGTGACAAGTTGTGAAGAAACAAATCCAGTATCGCGTCGCATACATAATTTAATCAAATTCAGCGAGATACAATGCAAGTTTCTAGTTAAAATAGGTGGCAGTAAATGACAAGGACACTTTGGGGACTTGTTCCGTCTCCCTTATGTCCTCGTATCGAAGCAGTGGCCGCGGAAGGGTGGGGACAGAGGGATAATGCCCCCACGATGTCCCCATCATCTCCCCATGTTATATAAACCCCTCCCTCCCCTATCCCACAATGTTAATGTCCCCACACCTTCCGCGGCCACTGCATCCAAGGAATATCTGTCTTTGCGTCTCTGTGACCCGTCCTGGTAAAATAAGACCAAGCCGAAAGTGCCGTGATCATCACACTTACTCTCTTATTTTCTGCGTCCCGTCTTCTCGCCCTCTTGCCGACCGTATTCTTCGAATTATGTCTGACGAATTATTATATGACGACGACGACGCTGCTGCCAACCAAGCAAAGCAAGCCCTAAAGATTTGCTTTGAGAAAAAGTAACCAAACACTCGACAAGAGAAGAATACACACGAAGACGACAGGCCATGGAGGATATGATCATCATCTCATCGCATTTCTTTCCCCTTTACTCCATCTCGCCGTCCATGTCACATCTTTCATTTCATTCCAGAGATTTACCGTCCTTCTGTCTGAAAATAAAATTATGACGACTTTCCTCTTTCTCTCAGTAATTGTGCAGACGATAGTTTGTCGGTATGATGAAATCGTAAAATTTTATTATTTCAACTTTTATTACGGTTATATGTATGTATGCGTCCTCCGCTATAATTCCGTTGTACGAACGACGCATATTCGTCGTATTCGCATCCTCGTATTTCTCGCCATCATTTATTCGAGTGTATTATTCTATTTGCTGGATGTATGTACATACTATCAGATTGTGTAGGTTCATGAACGTTGGTTTATGTATAAATATGTTGAGTCACACACAAAAGAACTGAATATATAACATGCTTATGATTGAATTGAATTCAATATGTGTACATGGATTGAACACGCTTATCGTCGGATATCGGATGAGATAACCACCCAAAAAAACTGGGGATTATTTAAACATACTTATAAATCTTAGTTTACATAAATAAGCAAATATTTTACGTAGAGTTGACCAATGTCAATAATCAATAATAAACAAAAATGCTTTACAACGGTTGGTTGCAGATATGTATCCTCCGGCAATACTGTTGAGGTATGGATGACCTGTGCTTACTTATCTCTCTAAAATCAATACATACGTGTTGGCACATATATAAACGTTGCCTGAAGAACGTTGACCAACCAAAAAGTGATTCGGAGGACAAGCTACTGTAAATCTGGAAGCTTTGTAAAACAGTTACAATGCCAAAATTCGATTTTGAAAAATTTGAAGTAGACGCTTCAATCGTATTACGTGAAATCTGGAGTTTGCTACAAGACAGATTAACAATAACGGAAGTTTCACGGTTAAATGCAATATTTGTGAGTTCAAACATCTTCCAGCCCAACGAACTTGCAGTATCCAAAACTTCAGAAGGGCTTCTGACGCTGTTGCATGCACGGTATTATCTATTTACGAATGTCAATAATACTAGTCATTCAGAATTCAAATTAATATTTCAAGGTCAAAGAAACAAAAGGCCGATGCCATTAATATCATCTGTGCAGAACCAGTGCATCAAGAAATTCGAGAGAAAGTTCAGACATATTTTACAAAAGGTGACACACAGGAATCAGAACAACCCCCGACGCCTGATGTGGACCGTTTAGTCGCCATCTTGATGAAGGATCATGCATTAGATTGGTCCTTGTTGGGTAGTCATCTCGGAGTCAATCAAAGGGAAATAGATGACTTAAGCACGCAACGCTTAACGGGAGTAATTAACTCCTCACAACTTTTCAGAAAAATTATTTTAAGTTGGATCTCCACAAATGGGTCTAAAGCAACTGTGGATTCACTTTGTAAAATACTGCATGACAACAAAATGATATTCTGCGAAGGTAAGTGCTTGACATATAGCGCGACATAATTATTATCTGCATTTTCTTACTTATTAAACTCTTTACGTATTTTAGAACGGGTTGCAGAAGAATTCGGAATTAAACTATGATTCATCGCCGCCATAAGAGACATTTCTTTTGTGATAACTTTATTTATGTTTAGTTAGTAACAGGACACAGTGACCGCGGAAGTCGTGGGGACATATGTATAATAGGATGGGGAAGGGAGGGGTTTATATAACATGGGCGGATGATGGGGACATCAAACAACGTCCCTCTGTCCCCACGCTTCCGCGGCCACTGACAAGACAAGAGGGACTAGTCTGTTCAAGTAGTAGTCGATTCAGCACTTCTTCTTTAGTCTTCTTATCACTTCCCGAATTACAATAACAGCAAATAAACTGATTTTCTTTCAAATTAAGCTCCGCTCGTAAATCTCGGCTTTACTGCGGCCCATATTTCTCATGATTATGCATTCAACATTATGCAAGACAAGACGGCAAGTTGGAAAATATTCTGATTTTTTCTACGGATCCATGTACATACATAGAATGAATGATTTTTATGGGTTGTTCTGCTCCCTGTTAGACTTTTATGTCGCAGTGGATCCGTATACACACAATTACAAAGTTGGAATGGAGCAGATTCTGCCCTTTTTTAGGATGGAAAGAATATGAATTTTCAAAAAGAATACGGAACGTCTCTCTTGTTGCGGGCATTTATTAATTCCACTCGACGAAACATGCATACAATTCAAAAAGCTAGGATATATAGAATACATTGCTGGATTATCCATGTTATTTTCCTTGGAGTGGGATATGTACATAATTTTGAATGATATAGATTTTGACTCACTTTATTGCACATAATTTTTGACGCGGACAAAGTCTAATGTGCGGGTTTGGTTGTCATTTATTTGTGTTTATTACAATTTATTATTGTACTTGCATTTTTTTGTCATTATGCTTTCGCTAGTTGGGAAAAAATCAAGGAAATGAATATCGGATGTCTTTTTTGAGGGGAATATTGAAATGTTCCCCGCTTTCTCCGAGAAATCCTGTCAATAAACAAATTATGGGGGTGGCACCCCTTTCGGTCACAAACTGCATTTATTACGACATTCAGTGCTCCTTCTTGTGAATAAAATGACAAATATTGGATTTCATTTTATTATGCGGGACAAATCTATGCATGCAATAAATCAACTCGAGATACAATAATATTTTGTTAAAAAGTGAATCTCTCCGTCTCGCTGTGGTTGCGGTTAAATTGATAAAACTGTTTTTTTATTGCTTGCACAATGGTCAAGATAATCTCGGGTTCGACGCATTGTCAAAAGTTACAAGATAAAAATCAAAATTTTAAATTTGGAAAACTTGTTCGTAGCTGAATGGAGTGGTCTCTTCTCCGCATTGGCCGCGGAAGGGTGGGGACCGAGGGACAATGTCCCCACGGTTATTTGATGTCCCCATCATCCGTCCATGTTATATAAACCCCTCCCTCCCCTATCCTACAATGCTAATGTCCCCAGATGTTCCCACAGCTTCCGCGGCCACTGCTTCTCCGATATCGGATTTTGGCCAGCCAAATATAAGTATAGCTTATATTTATACGTTATAAACCGAGGGCCCAGCCAGGAAGAAGTTGGAGGATGAAAAATGCTTAAATGTCGTTGATGCGGAAAGGGAAGGGAAAATGCAAATTGGAACTTAGGACCATTTCATCACTTTGATGGATGCCGAAAAGACATATTTATGCAAATATGGTGGGCCCAACGCCATATTTACGCTTGGAAATTGTTCCCCAACTTACATAATGGTCACACATATTTCATCCCTCGCAACGGCTTCTGGCCTCAAATCCATCGCACTCCATGCAAATTTTCGGAACAAGTCAACTCGCTCCCTGAAACTAAAAAACTATGAAGATTCTATTACCGACAGAAGACAACTTATACTTTCACCGTCACTGTTACGTTTACTGTTGCACCGCTCCGTGGTGGTGCGAAGGGCGACGGCGAGGACGACTTTTCTGATAAAAAATGTAACTACATTCATATATCGTATCGTGCAAGTAGTGCGTCACAAATAATATTTTGCGTATAATAGTAATTTTTTATAAATTGTGTTTCATGAAAATTTGAAAGCTTGACTTTCACTCAGCTTAAACGTATAACTTGATCTCCAAGTTACTAGATTTTCTTGTCTTAATTCCTAATTTAACTCGATAACTCGTCGCCAAAATAGTCAAAATTAGCGCATTTTTAATTATTTCTCGGCTCTGGGGATTTAGTTTAAAATTCTGGACGGCAAATTTACAAGGCAGTCGTAGCCGATTTTTTTTTAAATATGCCCTCCAGATTTTGACAGTTTTTTAAGGTGAAGATCTCAAGTTTAACAAGCTCTCAGATAAATTGGAACTCGTTGAAACTGGCTCAAAAACCTCACCGCCATTCAACTTCGACTACAAATTTGTAGTCCAAAATTTTAAAATAAATTCCCAGAGCCCAGAAACGATTAGAAATGTGCTGATTTTGACGAATTTAAACTCCGTTTCACGCTACTTGAGTTCATCACATTTAGTTGTATTAGCCGAATTATTTTATTATTTGACACCGGTTATTTTTATTTTGGCGTTTAAATTATCCACTTTCGTCAGATTTTTCATAACCGGTGTCAAATAATAAAATAATTCGGATAATTCGGCTAATGTAACTCATTATGATGAACTCAAGTCGTCTCAAGTAGCGTGAAACGGAGTTTAGCGTTGAGTCGTAGAGTCCTACGTTAAAAAAATATTTTTCTATTTTCACCCTTACTTTCACCACGTTGCATCTTATCGCTCCATGCTTATTATTCAAATGTCTGCGTTATCCCGTCCCTGTCATATTGAACTGCTCACTTTTTTCAAGCTTCCTTCTTTTTTCCCAAGTCGTCCTCGGAAACTTTGCCGTACGTACATTCATACATACGTACCATCTCCCAGAATCATAAAACATCATAAACCACAATTGTACAAAAATATCCTTCGACACTGTCTGACTCAGCCCAGCTTCTCCACTTATTATACTTTGTTCAACTCATCCTTTCTCCCACCCAGGGAAAGTGGCAAAGAATAAAAGAAGACGGGAAAAAAATAAGAAATATGTATTTTCCTCAAAATGGCACATACTTATCAAAAGCACACGAAACGAAACACCCTGCCAGGTTTGCTTGCCTCCTATGGAATTGAATCTCACAAAAATAAAGCTGATCCGATTATTCTCATTCATCAAGAGAGCGAGGACCTTATTCATTGTCACCTCTCTCGCACAGTGGCCGCAGAAACATGGGGGCAGATGAGGGACAATGTCCCCACGGGTATTTGGTGTCCCCATCATCTCCCCATGTTATATAAACCCCTCCCTTCCCTATCCTGCAATGCTAACGTCCCCCGATGTCCCCACGGCCACTGCATGCACACCATATCTAAATACAGGGAAAGAGCAGGCTTGAATTTTCATGCAGGAAGCAGGATATCAAGGAAGTAAGTCGTCGATGCAATTTTATTATCATGGCGGAGACAGACCGAAAACCAAACTTGGGATGACTCTGGTTGGTTCCGGGGTTAAGTGAAGATTTGATTTTATCTGTGATCCACATTCTGTCATCCAATAAAAGATCACCATAATCGAGGACATCATCGCCCCATATTTCATTCTTGAGGGAAAAGGATCCTCATTTCTTGTGACGAGTTGCAAATCCCAGCAGATTTTGGAAGGATTTATTCAACTATCTTTGTTTTTCAGGAGAGAAGGAAGGAACGAATCCACTTAAGCTGGGTACTTTTCTGACGTGATGTGCATGGTCTTAGTGAGTAAGTTGGATATGCAAATAATATAACAGTCAGTAATAAATCTTAATTTAGTTTGTGTGACCATAAACTTGGCTAGGATTTGATTATACGTACGCATACAATTTTATAAGGATTTTGCGTATGAATTTATTAAATATTTCTTGATTCCAATCCAACTTAATTTCAGTTTCATTCAGCCCCTTTTCAGGGTTTGATCTCTTAATATGTTTATCAACTTTCCCAAACGACATAAAACGTTTAAATGGGTAAAAGCTGATGGTGGTGAATGGTGAGAAGCTTTGTCAAACCCAACCACAAAGACTTAATAAATACATAGGAAAGAAGTTATTAAGTGGCTTCAACCGCTTTATGTCATCGTTTTGTCCGTCCGTCCGTCCGTGGGAATAATATCAACAGAACGCCTCAACATAATTAGACGCAGTTTTCGCCATTGTGCTTCCAATTTTCAGTTCCCGGTCGAGTTTGAAATGGGGTCCCTGCAGTCAAGGTCAAGGTGACTTGGCGTGAGGTCAAATGCCCAATAGGACCTTAATTTTTATATACGATGTCATTTTAAATGAAATTTCACCACGAATTCAACGCCGTCAATAATTTTCACCTCCAACGAACTCTTGATCTAGATGAGGAGGTCAATTGTCATAAACGACATAGTTTTCATGTAGTGTCATTTTGAATTTGACTGTATAACGCCACTTTTTTATGTTCGTTTGACACCGTTTATTGTTGGAAGGATCCACTCCACTCCAGACCAGAAGTATGCATGTACCAGCTAATATTCTATCTTTAACTTTCTGCTTTGCTAAACTCTACTAATTACAATAAGTGGGTACTCCTCCTTCCTGGCGAGACAGGACAATCTGATACCAAACCAAGTCGAGAGAGAGCGAGAGAAGTGAAACAATGGAGCTGCATCATTAAATAAAAGCTTCTTAATGAGAAATCATCATCCTTTCTTGTTCGAACTTTCCGAATCGGAAGTGAAACATGGGATGGAAATATAGATTTCGCATTCTGAAAGTGTCATAAATCTTGAGATTTTTGATAGCTTTTGAGCCCAACGAGGTCTCTTTAAAGGTTCAACCTTCTCGGGAACGTTAAGCAAATATGTTGACGTCCCATTCAAATGGTGGTTTGGTTTTGTCTGGTGTCGTCTTTGGGGTTTGGTTTGGTTTGTGGACAAAGACTTGGGAAAGTGTAGTAATAGTTACTTACTTATTAGTTTACTTACTTGGCTCAGTCACTTTCACTTACGATTAAGATGGTGTGGTGTAAGTGTATAAGTAACTTGTTAGTTCATTACTACACCAGACCAGTGGCCGCGGAAACTGTGGGGACATTAACATTGTAGGATAGGGGAGGGCGGGGTTTATATAACATGGGCAGATGATGGGGACATCGAACTACCGTGGGGACATTGTCCCTCTGTCCCCACCCTTCCGCGGCCACTGATACATTTAGCCTGAAAGCATCATCATCTTTGTCCCCCACTCTGCGTCTGCCTACTTACTCCTTCTTTGAATGACTAACTAACTTATTCTCCTGATTCGGTTGGTGGCCGTAATTTATGAAGGGTTCTATCTATCCAGTGTCACCCAGTTATTTACCGCCTTCTACTTCATTAGCTTTCAAAGGAGTGATTGGAGAGTGGAGAGAAAGTCGTGGTTTTCAATCCTCCAACTTCTGCTGGATGAATTTGAACAGGAGGACATGCTAAATACTTTGTTCTACATTATGCACTGTTAAAAATCTGGTAGAACTCCGTACTGGCATTGATTTGGTAATAACTTTTTATCGGATTGGTAGTAGTTTGTTTCTGAGTGGTAAATTTTTCATTACTAAACGGTAATGCCCGTTTTTCCCAGTATCGGTCATATTTATATATACTCTGGCCAGTAATAATTTAATACCAGTTTTTTAAGAGTGTACAAACTCACACATTGGAAAGAAAGTTCAAATAAGGAAAGAAACGCAGAATCATTTTTTATGCAGAATAAGAATTTTCAATTACAGATTTGAATTACGTTTGCCTTATAAGAAGTTACGACGATGTGAAAAAAAATCTAAAAAAAATGACTTGGGTGAAAGTCTTAAATTCACGCTTCAGCAAATTGAATTATCCTTAAAATACTGGCAGTGGGATTTTCCGCGTATGTGAAAGACCACGAAAATTGAATCCCTTGATCCACCTCGTCGAAAAATAAGGTTACGGCAAAGGAAGAATATTCTCCGACCTTTTTTACACACTTATTTTAGACTCGCAGTCTTTTTTTCCTTCTTTATTTTATTTCATTTGATCCCCCATAACATTTTCTTAAGCTCTCTCGCTTTCACTTTTTCCAGGGAACAAAAGAAATCTCAAAAGTACATGTGGGAAGTGTTGAAAGAAGAATAAGTGAGCGATTCATCTCCAGAATTCTCTGGGGCAGGGGAAAAATGAGAGATATGAGAAATGAGAGGCTACAAGCCTGCCTTCCAATTGATAACTACTATCCATTCATCCGTTCAAGTAGTGGAACACTTTCATCTGTCCCCCTTCTGGGAATTAGTTAATTTTTACATAAATTTTAATCCGTAATTTGAATTTTTCTCGGAATTTTTCTCTCATTCTTTTCGTCATGTGATGTGGCTTCACTTAAGAATAAATGTCTCAAGTTACCTCGCTCGTAGTCTTCTTTACAAAGGTCAGAATTGCAGTGAGACTGTGGCTGAAATATGATAAGATGTGTAATACGTATGATATGAAATATGTATCGTAAGCAATTTTTGAAAAACGTTTTCAAATGACTCAATTTTTCTTAGACTTTTTTTAGCAAATATTACATGACGTCAAGAATGATACCGTTCTTCATGAGATCTTTTACATCAGAAACGTTGGTTTCCCATATATTTAATTATTTTGTTTGTGCAGGAATTGTTGATAATCATTAATATGTATGTACTTCGAGATTTTACCCACTATCAAATATCCTGTCGTAAAAAATCATGGTCTAGCCTAATGGCTTAAAAATATGGACAAATGTCACGAATTTATGCTCAAGTTTCAAGAAAGAGTGGTAGTCAGTAAGCACACATCTAGATCGTTATGAAATCCTTGGTCTGTTCCAAGAAAGAAAAACTTCCTTCTTATCTAAACAAATATAGCCTCTAATAGTTTTGAATGGATACGAATCTACCATCCAAACCCATCCAAGTACCATGATCAAGTTCATAAGCAAGCGACCTGTTTTACCATTGCTTTTCGAATTCGTCACATATTAATCATCCATCCATTATGCTATTTACTTAGCAGGATTCGTTCCTTGTTGTGCAATGGTCTTATTCTCGCTGGATTTATAATGAACGTGTTATCACATGTTAAATAATGCCTTCTCCAATGTCCGAATCCTACCATCGAACCAAGACGGCATTGTATTTACTTTAGCCTGAAAAGCGGACTTTGCTTTGCTTTGTTTCTACTGGAAGAACAAACGAACTAAATTAGGTTTAGTTTGCATTTAGCGTTGGAAGACGATTGTCACATTTAAAATCAAAATTTCGAAAAATCAAAATCTTTTCATAAAATAATTGCAACAAGGTAAAAAGTTTCTACGCAAAAAAATGAAGACTTTTTCACCAAATCTGGATGATTCCAACGCACCAATTTTGGAAATGCCGGATAGCCCACCGCCATACAGGTCTCTGTCAGAAACTTATTTTTATCGTTAGATAATTGTTAACCACATACCCTTGATTTTTCAATTTAGCAGCCAGGTCGCAACTTCCGTACCGGTGATTGGATGTGGCCCTAGTAGATCCTCCGGTCATGCCGCATCGGTCTCATCGCCTCAACCAGGCGACATGGAAAGTCAATCGGGGAGCAAGTCGGTGAAAGTGTTGCTTTACCAATCGTCCAAGTCTCAACGTAGCATTTTTCTCAGGTATGCGCTTTATATTATAACTTGCATGAACATTGACGGCGGAAGCAGGGGAGCATTGTCCCCCCAGAAATTTCATAAAATAGTCCCTCCTCTTCCAATCCCACGATGCATGGCCCCCATGTCCCCCAGCTTCCGCCGGCACTGTACATGCAAAACTTTAAATCTGAAGTTGTCAAATAAGTTGCACATAATTCCTACACAATTCAGGAATGTCTACACCATCTTGGCAGCCCAAGGTATCGCCGTTTGTGGGATCATCTCACTATTTTTCATTCCCCACATCCACTCATATTTCCAAGAGATGTCATTCTACATCTTCTGGTCATTCTGGGCCATTGGTACCATCATTGCTTGCTTCGTCACCACGTTGTACAAACTGATGCGAAAACCACCCGTCAATCTAGTGATGGTAACTTTGGTCACGATTTCAGCCGGAGTAATCTTTGGCACGTTAGCTGTGAGAGTAGAAATGTATGTACATTCAGCAATAATTTAAATTCATTACAAAAATTTGCACCATTTTAAGACTTATCATTTCAGGATCAACCCTGTCCTAATTTGCATCGGAATCATAACCGGAGTCTGCCTTTCCGTTGTCCTCTTCACGTTTCAAGACCGTTATCCCTATACTCCGATTATTTCCGTATTCTTCGTCTGGACCTTGTTGTTGGTCGCCTTTGGGGGTTTGTTCCTGTCTTACGGCGAAGACATTGTGGCCACCTTTCAGCTCATGATTGCCCCCACGCTGGTGAGCACCTACTTTGCGATGACAACCCAAATCTTGGTAAAAGACAAGGAGAAAGCAATCATGTCGAATGAGTATGTCTACGGGGCAGTTCAAGTCTCAATGTATTTGGTGGCCGTATTTGCTAAGATTATGTATCGCATTTATTCCTGCTGCTGCCCATGTTGCTCATGCGACAACTGTGGGGACATTTGTAATGAGTTGTGATTTAGCAATATGTGGGGATGATTTCACTATTTTGGCCTGTCGCTTGATTTATTTTTGGTGGTAAATAGTAATGCTTTAGTCAAAAGTAGCTTCACATTTGCATACCTACATACTTAATTTTATTTAGGCAGAAATTTCTAGATAGATGACACGTTTCGCTTAAAATTGGCATGGATTACCAGATTTTATATGCTGGAATAAATATATTTTACTATTTGTTTTATGAACGCTTTCTATTTTTCTACACATCTCAAATTCTCTCATTTTCTAAACTTGGAGTAAATTTACTTATTTGTATCAAGTAAAATCGATACGTTTATAATGAATGATTTTAATATATATATATTCATGTGTATAATAATATCGGTTCTTCGGTTGGGTTATATCATTATGTGTTGTAATGCTCATTTATATATTTACTGACAATTCCTCAAATGCCTATAATAAACGATAATAAAGTTGTATTTTAACAAATCCAGTGTCTGTGAGTGCATTACAACCACAGGACACATTTACGTGCCCCTTGAAAATTTGAGATTTGTTAGTCCATCTTGATAAAATATAGCGGAACGAACGCTGAGGTTGAGGTCAATGCCAGCATCAATAAGTAAATGTATATTTCTTTTCGGGCCCAACCACCAAATACATGACATTTCAAGTCCTTAATGCTCTATACTCAGGAGGGGAGCTTGCGAGGTTGATAATAACAGATATTGGTGCCCTTTGGATATGTGGTAGGGACCCATGAGTGTACTAAAACCCTGAAGTAGTTTGACTCCATGGCCACATTTGCGCCCGCCACACCCACTCAAAAATGTCCAAAAAACGCTTTCACCCCAGTTTTCACTCACTCAAATCCACGCCAAAAATCCAATTTTACTCGGATTTTGAAATTTCTTTCATCATTACACTCCCAGATAGTTGCTTTCTTCAATCCAATATCAAACTCAATTTTTTCGAAATTTTTAGTATTTTTAAAATTTGAAATTCTGAATGAGGATTGTTGTAGTCATCAACAAAACAAATTATGTTTGCGAAATAATCATCAATAAAATTGAGTTTGATATTGGATTGAAGAAAGCAACTATCTGGGAGTATAATGGTGAAAGAAATTTCAAAATCCGAGTAAAATTGGATTTTTGACGTGGATTTGAGTGAGTGAAAACTCGAGTGAAAGCGTTTTTTGGGCATTTTTGAGTGGGTGTGGCGGGCGCAAATGTGGCCATGGAGTCAAACTACTTCAGGGTTTTAGTACACTCATGGGTCCCTACCACATATCCAAAGGGCACCAAGATCTGTTATTATCAACCTCGCAAGCTCCCCTCCTCAGTTAAGAGTGGATGCATAATACACTTTACACCCTTCACATATACATTATTATTGGATTCAGTGGCCGCAGAAGCGTGGGGACATCTGGGGGCATTAACATTGTAGAATATGGGAGAGAGGAATTTCTATATTGTACTTAAGTCCTCACGCTTCAGTGGCCACTAATTGCACTTCGTTTTAACTAAACCCTTTCCTTTCTTATGTACGCACTTCTTCGAAACCTAAAACTAAAACATATCTAAAGCAGCATAACGAATGAAGCATTTTGTACTTGAATGGTCAGTTGCATTTCTTGGGTTTACTTGATCACGAACTGCATATAATTCAGTTCAATTATAATTTATTTAATATACGTTTTAAACATGGGTTGCATGGACATGCCTAAGAGACCAGTAATTAAGGTAAGGCTAAGTTATGAAAATCAACCTGAGTTTGGGTTATGGATACAAGTTCAACTACGAATTTTGAGATTACATTTGATTTGCTTATCTATATTGCTTTTATGTAAAATGTAAAATTTATCCTCCTCCTTTCTGACACGAGTCCCACTACTGAATCTCTGTGTGAAACACTTGTGAAGTGCAACGTAACATTTTTCTATAAATTTTGTATAAACTTAAAATTACTTGTTTAAAATTTACGTATTAGACGGCAGGAACTATGTCCCACCTTATAGCAAGCGCTGGAAGATTCCTGACGACGCGAGCAGGTAAGGAATTTCGCAAACTTGATTAAATCATTGCAAGAAATGTACCCTGAAAAGTCTGAACTCTCCTGTGGATTTTAATTTACTATATGAAATTTCAAATTATTTCAGAAGTTAAGGTCAGAGCACTAGAGATAAAGTTGTTGGCGGCTATACAAATAAGAGCAGAAACGGACAAGTCTATTTTTTAAATCACAAATCCTGGTAAGATATTTAGGTTTATTCATATTTCATGAAGCTGAACTTGTTCATAATTCGCCAATTTATTTAGAGAACTATGACAGTACGTCGACAGAAAGGAAAGTCCTGGAGAAATTTAACCAAGCCACAGAGGGAAAGGTTAATGAGGTGTCATCGAATGCTGATGATGATTCCGATGACGTAGTTAAAGAAGATTCGCAAGATGATAATTCGGGTATTTAATAAATTTAGAAATTTCATATGCCTTATTCCATACTCTATTTATATATATGTGTATATTTTACAGACCTCGAACTTACTCTGAAGGCATTGGAAGCCGCCCGACATGAGGATGAAAGGAAGGTGGCTTCCTTACAAGCCAAATTAACCCAAGCAAGAAATGCATTGGAGGCTTTGAAAATAGAAAGTAATAAACTTTAAATATTGCAAAAGAATATGCATATATTACATGATATTTTTTGCAGTGAGGTCCACTCCGGGAGCAGGTGGTTAAAGTGGTAGTCATGCCGGGACATGAGGAGGTCTGTTAAACCGAATTTTACATATTTATCATTCGTTACGTGAGCCCTACATATATGCGCTTTTGTATAGGCGGTGGTGGAGGAAGGGTCGAACCCAGAGGGGGTGGCGAGAGACGAAGAAGATCTGGTATCCTACCATCGTTAACATTACTACACGGTCAATTTCGGACTTATCATTATTTATTTATGCATGTCTTATAGTTTAAAAGTTCCTTATTTACTGAAAGTTATCAGGGAATACATAAGCAATATCCTTGCCATACGCAACTGGTCCATACTTCGTGTCGATTTATTGCCTCATTTGGTCAGATTGCTTTCACAATTTTGGTCACTTTGAACTCTGATCATCAAAGGGAAATATAGAGTTGAAATGCACAAAATACGACAAAGTGTTCAAGCGAGAAATCAAAAGCGTCCCCATCCGATTTACATCCTGGTCGTATCATTATCGCCACTCTATCCAATATCGGAACACTTTGTGAGTCAATCATGACCCGTCTTGACCACTCTTCGCATCCATCCACTGACTGGACTCTTTCATGATATAGAAAGATACGTACGTCGCAAATAGAATGGGGATCGAGAATCAGTGGCCGCGGAAGCATGGGGACAGAGGGACAATGTCCCCACGGTTATTCGATGTCCCCATCATCTCCCCACGTTATATAAACCCCTCCCTCCCCTATCCTACAATGTTAATGTCCCCACAGCTTCCGCCGCCACTGCTAAGAATAAGGACATTTTACCCGGCAAGATGAGACTCTCTACCACCAAATTGAATAAAGTGACCAAGGAGAAAGTTGGTGGGCTGGTTAAATCTGAAATAAATATGGAGTTTAGCTTACGTATCAAGCAACCTACCCTACCTGCTGGATGACATTCTGTACATCTACGTGGTTGGCTTTTTAGTCGTAGTCTCGTAGTGTCACTGAAAGGGGGATGATGATTGCACAAAGATTGTCAATTTGTTCTGCTCAATATGGAAGAGCCTCTGGCCAACTTTTTCTTATTCTCCTCTCTCTCTCACTCTCTCCCAACTTTGAATTGAATCCGGCCATTTCACACTTTATTTACATCACGTTCCACCATTTATTCCACCAAGCAAGTCCAGTAGGAGTTTTTCACAACATTCTATGAATACAAAGTAAGTGACTGTGCATGGTGAGCTGAGATAAAATCATGATGTTCTTCTCACTAGTTCGAGTGAGTGGGGGGAGAGAAAGGAGGAGAAGAAAACAGTTTAAGTCTCAACAACATAAGAGAAAGTTTGGTAAGTTGGGGAAGAAGACTTCTTGATGAAAACAGGATTGAATTTAAGCTTAAAAGATGCCCTCCAGGAGTGGACATAGTTTATCTGGCTAACTCCTCCAACTTGTCGCCCACCATTTAATCCAATCATTTCAGGAGGAAAAGTAAAACAAGGGAGACAGACAGCGCCAATACGTATCAGGATATTACGGCGTCCTATATATATAACCAGATCGGGAGAAAGTGAAAGGAGAACAAAGTGCCAAAATGTTTCATAGTGGGTATCAGTTGTTGTACATGGTATTGAGCTACATACATACATCTGCATATGATAAGTTGATAAATATTTGTGTTTTTTAAAAATATACGAATTTTATCGGGGAAGAAGTGACGCGTTTCAGATCAAAGTTAAACCTAGGATTTAAAGAAAGACATGATCGAGGGGAGGAAATGAATTTATTTTTCAAAACAGTTTATAAACTTTCTCTTCGTAGGATATAATTTAAAAAACACTGCTTTTAAAAACATGTACCAATTTCTTTCAAAATTTTCCAATCAAGTATTCCAACTTTCGAAATTTTATGACCACATACATTTATAGTGATGACTCATTAGGTACATGATAAATCCCAGTATAATCCAATATCCATTACGTATCAAATGGTCACTATTGAACCATGCGAAATCAGATATCTCGACCTTATCGATATATAAAAGGTCACATGGATTTGGCTAGATTGATAAAAAATTGCGAATTGCATAAGCCTACCCAAAGCATTGTTGAGTATGGCTGGATGAAGGTGAAAGTAGTCGTTCGAGACGTGACTGGCTGCACTTTCTCGTGCTACGTGCGCCCTCGTGGAACATATCTCTCAATTCCAGACTCTTCTCCATCTTTCTCTCCCTGCTTTGACTTTTCCCATGCTAACCAACCAACCAACCAACCATTGCCCGGCTCGGGACTTTCCACGATTATGGAATGCATAGTACATAGCAGGATCAGTAGTGACGACACGGGTTTTTCGGGGGAAATCACGAGATTTCTTCCTCCCACATGACTGCGAGGACGACAGCAGCGTGTGCGATACACATACGTCTGTCAGCCGTCGTCAGAACGATACCTTTTCATATTAACGAGGAACAGATGGCTTATAAGGCTGCCAGTCTTTCCATAAATACAATACTTGAAGACTGACACGTACCGCTGGCTGAGTCAGTCTTGGAGAAAAGTTCGCCCCGTGTTCACTTTAATCAGGAACGAACGGAACGTATTTACATAGTTGGAAAGTTGATCTCACTCACTTTTTGGCAGCGAAAAGGAACATGGCAAATTCTCCGAATTGGAACATGGATTTAATAAGCTTGCTCCCCGAGTGCATTGGTGATCACAATATCTCCAATGACTTTTGGGAAATAACGGGAGAAAATATAAACAACACGCAGAAAACTAGTTCTTACAACACGACGGACATCAATAATTTGTCAGAGAAAGTTTGTTGTGGACTTTCTCTTGAATACCTCCTCAATTGCGAAATCTTTTAGGAATACGTACATTTTTCTAGTTGTTTGGTTATTTTTTTTGGAGTTATATATTTTTCTCGGAAATCGTCTGCCTATTTTGTCGGGAAAGTTTTCAGAAATATTTTTTTGAATTACTCACCTTCAATTTTGTCAACCTCTCGGAAATACAATTTCTTCCACAAACGAAGCCAAATCATTCAAAGTGCAAGTTAAAATGCATGGAAAGTAGTGAATAACTTAACCGACGCCACAATGACAATGACCACGAAAAACCCACGGAGACCGGCAACGACTACGGGGAACCAGGCCCACCACCAGCAGCTCTTGCTGGACGCAGCTTCCGTGGCTTTAATCCCCCCAGAACCACGAGAAGGGGGACATGGAGCTGGAAATTCTTGTACGAAGAACGCAAGTGACCGTTCAGATGATGAAAGCGCCCTCGTGACGAGGACTCCACCTCGGTCGACTTCTGGGAAAGTGGTGGAAATCACGATAACTCCTGTTCCATCGGTCCCAGGTAAGTCCTGAACACGATTCACGACTCGTGTGCAGTGGCCGCGGAAGCCGTGGGGGCATTAACATTGCAGGATAGGGGAGAGAGGGGTTTATATAACATGGGGAGATGATGGGGACATCGAATACCCGTGGGGACATTGTCCCTTTGTCCCCACGCTTCCGGGGTCACTGCTTAAGTGAATCTTGAACCAGGACAATTAGCATTTTTTGCATGTAATTGAACCACTTTTCGTTCCTAATGAGTAAATATTTCCGGAAATAGAGAGCCTTGAAGAGCGAGGTGGCCTATATATGCAGAAGCCAACGAAAGGTCGAGTAATTGCTGTCAAACTGATGGCAATCTGCGCCTTGCTCTACATCTTCGTCTGCTCCTTGGGTGAGGCGTTTCATACTATTTTTGATACGCGGCATGATTTAATTCTGCATAATTTGTAGGATTCATGAGTGACGCTTTCCGATTAATTGCTGGGAAAGCGGCAGGTGAGAAGTTTGATGAGATATGTAAATGGCATTGGATATTCATAACTCATTATTAATTCTGACATAAATTTAGGCCAAGTTCTTCAGCAAGAGAAACTTATTACGGTTCCAATAGTGGGCGTAATGCTGGGAATTCTCGTCACTGTCGCAGTTCAGAGCTCGTGTATGTACTTAATTTAACCTCATTTATTTAATCGACTATTCAGAAATTCAATAACTTTTATTCCTTTCTAATTATCTATTAGCTACTTCGACTTCAATCGTCGTTTCAATGGTGGCGTCAGGATGTAAGATTGAACAATTGATATTTTATGTGCATTACCAAACGTATTGACCACGAATATATGTACGACCGACCAACCAACCACAAAAACTCCTCTGTTCCTGACATTTGCTTGACCCAAAATACGAGGACAGGCTAATTTAATCGATCCTTGCAGACCGACTGTGACATAAAGACGGCCACTTTCACCACCACTTTCTACATATGCATGACTTCTCTCTGACTCGTATCGATTTCTTATTATATACTCTTTCCAACTGTGCCGGATTTATCCCTCGCTTTCCCCGACTTACAGACATACAAATACATAATTGCAAAAAAATGTCCTACATTTTTTATACGTTGTCCCTGAAATTAGCCAGCAGGACATTAAATGATGTATGATTTATTTTCAGTATTCACGGTGAAAACTGCGATTCCAATAATTATGGGGTAATTTTCATTCTATTGTTTGTCATGTCGTGACATTTAGCCTAAATTTGATTCAATTTCCTCCTCCCCCAAATAGTGCCAACATCGGAACCAGTGTGACCAACACGGTCGTCGCACTGACGCATATGACTAATCGGCAAGACTTTGAGAGGGCATTTGGTGGGGCCGTGTTGCACGATATGTTCAATCTTCTCACGGTTACGACTCTCCTCATCGTGGAACAATTGACATGTATGTGTAGCAAATTAGATGATAAGCATTTATGAATATGTATACAATCTCTTATTTAATATGCACAGCTTATCTGGAAGTTACTACAACAAAGATAATCAACATGCTGGATTTGCAATCCTCCAAAGGCGGAGAGATTCAGGTGCTATCGAAAATTACGAAACCCTTCACATCTCTCATCGTACAAGTATGTATGGAAAAATGAATGATGATACCCATTTTTTAACCTGTCTCTGCCCTATAAAATGGTAATAATAATTCCCATAAATCAATGAATCGCAGATAAACAAAGATGTGATTGTGGGATGGTCAATAAATGACCCACAATACGATAATGAACGACTGCTCAAAGTCTGGTGCAACTATTCGAGCCTGACTTCTTCTTCTCCGCCTGATCTACAACCGACAGCAGACGACAATATTGATAACAAAGTTTCATCTTCTTCATCCAATCATTCGGCTGGGTCGTCTGGAAATATAAGTCAGAGGGGAAGCGGCGGTGGTGGTGATGATTTGCAGCTGTCTGTACAAAATGGGAGTCAAGGGTCAACTCGTGATGCAATTTCGGCCGCTATGATGTCCACCGGAAGTACTGGGCAGAAATGTATGATTTAGCAGATTCTTTCTTGGATAGATTAATGGAACATATGCTAATTTTTTTTTACAATTTAGGTAAATTTCTATTCAACATGTTCAACTTGGGGGATCTTGCGGTTGGTGTAATACTTTTGGTCGTATCGCTCGTATTGCTTTGTGGATGTCTGATTTTGCTGGTCAAAGTTCTGTCATCTTTGCTCAAAGGTAAATAAATAGATTCATACATACATAATTTATCAAGGGTTTAATGATCATGTTTACTGCTGTGTATGCTATTTATTTATTTTTATCTTAAAAACAGGGAAACTTGCTGTTGCCGTGCAAAAAGTGGTGAACGCCAACATTCCTTATGTTCCCTGTCTCACTGGATATCTCGCGATTGGAATTGGAGCCGTTATGACCCTGCTGGTTCAATCCTCGTCCGTCTTTACTTCAGCTATGACTCCGTTAATTGCGATGGGAATGATATCACTGGATCGAGCGTATCCTCTGACCTTGGGATCAAATCTTGGCACCACGACCACCGCAATGTAATTTTGAAGGACATAAATGAAAAATTTGGTAGATCGTCAGATTTGAGCTATTTAATTTTTAGGTTGGCTGCACTAGCAACGGAAGGTCCTAACCTGAGACTGTCAATTCAACTAGCTCTGTGCCACATGTTGTTTAATCTGACTGGAATTTTGTTGTTTTATCCGATTCCTTACATGAGGTACACACATAAGCAATACTTAAAATGGAGGTCTTCTAGCGTATGCTCCCAGATTTTGATTAAGCCAGTGTCAATCGATCGCAAATTTGATTAATATGAAATTTGCAAACGACACTATCTGCCAGTGCTCAGGTTTGGCAGAGATGTTTGCATCCGAAGAGGAGAAAGTGGGCAGGAAATTTGGAAAGTGTAAAATTTATGGCGCGCTTTCTCCTCTTCGGATGCAAATATCTTCGCCAAATGTGCCCATTGGGAGGTCGTGTCTTTCGCAAATTCCATATTGATTAAATTTGCGATCGATTGACACTGGCTTAGTCCAAATCGGAGAACATACGGTGGAAGATCTCCATTCTTAGGATTAGTTTGCTGTTTATACGCACCTAAAAAAATACAGAATGCTCAGAAACCCCAAAATATTATGAAATTGGCAGGTTCCCCGTACGAATGGCAGCCGCTCTTGGCCGCATAACATCTCAATACCGCTGGTTTGCCGTATTCTACTTGATTTTCATGTTTGTCCTCCTCCCCTTGACCGTTTTCACTCTGACGCTCATCGGCCCCATGGCCTTTTACTGTGTCGCCGGTCCAGTCGGAGTCATCATCCTGCTTGTCCTTGGACTAACCCTTCTGCAAACATGGATTCCTTCTCTCCTTCCAGAAATCTTGACGGATTGGAACTTCCTCCCGAAATGGTGCCGAAGTTTGGAACCCTACGACCGCGTTGTCGACCGGATTGTAACCACGTGGCGAATCTACTTCCCCTGGTGCTGCAGTGGCGGTGCGAGTGGGACGACGAACGTCGGTGGCAATTTTACCGGAGGAATGAGACCGAACAATAGCCAAGTCTGCTTCGTAAATGGCTCACGATCTCCAAGTCCGCAAGGCTACGTCTTTGATAATTCCGCATTTGCACGGAATGACCACTCATTCACGATGGACATGAGAAATACTCCGGTTTGAAGGGAAGGAAATGTGGCAATTAGTCTGTCTAATTTTATTCCAGTGCTAGATTCGTATACCTCATCTCATGTTATTAGATATGTAATGTAAAATTACACAGATATTTCATAAATTAAATAGTTGACCATTGTACTTTAACCCATAAGTAGCATCATCATGTTTGAACTCTTGATCTAAATGGTAGTTTTAACTTACATACAAAAAGTTATTCCTCCTTTAGACAAATGCATAACTCACCAGTCTCAGTATTACTTTTGTAGAATTGTCACTATCAAAACATGAAATATGTATGTGTCTTTTCTCATTTATTATCTACATTGTGATAAAAATATATGCTTACAAATACTAAACGCATAACTAACTAACTATGTATACAGCCAAATAAATGTGTATTTAGCGGAACATTTTGTCCTCTTATGAATGTCTTCTGCAAATGCACAGAAACGAATGAAAGGATGAAATTGATGATATATGTACCTGTTTGTTGCAAAAAAATTTGTACCTATGTAAAAAATATTCAAAATTTCACAAATATTTATCAATTTGTATCAATTTTATCGCTGAAAAATAAGCATGCACAAAAAAAACAATTGTTCAATCCAACCCAGCACCGTCTAAAATTTCTGCCGAATTGTTTATTTATTTATATACGTCAAGCCCTGCCATATTCGCTGAATGTAAGACTTGTAAACTTGTGATGATAAGCACACCGGATAAGTATAATAGTGCTGATGTGATGTGTACTGAGGATGAGTGGGTGATAGATAAATAAGTGTTGTTCACATTAATATTATTATTATTATTACGCACGCATCAACCTCATTGCAGATAACTTTGTGTCAAGTGTTTGCATGGAGGGGAAATCGCAACACATAATAATTACATATGTATTATTTACAATTGTCCAAACTTACGTGCATACTTGATTATTTTGCAAACTTGCCTTTTTTCGAGCAGTGGCCGCGGAAGCTGTGGGGGCATTAACATTGTAGGATAGGGGAGGGAGGGGCTTATATAACATGGGCAGACGATGGGGACATCGAATAACCGTGGGGACATTGTCCCTCATCTGTCCTCACGCTCCCGTGGCCACGGTTTTCGAGGATGATATGATGATAATATGTACATGCACTGCAAAATTTCCTCGTATTTGTAATATGGATCAACACTGCTATCTGTCAACCAGTGTTGTTGAAACTTTTTGATTTGACCGTTTATCATGATCACTGAAATAAAAAGCGAAACGATTATGAAACAAAAATTGATAACTAAGAAAATAAATATACTTTAATGCGCAGATCTCATTTGCATACACCAAGTAAGTAGCAAATACGGTATTTTATTAATAAGATAACCGATTTTTTATTCTCCGGCTTAAGGACGGGGATTTACTTGAAAAAATTACGAGAACATAGACACAGATGCATAATTACATATATGTAATGCCATGAAGAGAATGGAAGACATATGCACACATAAAAAGGCAATATGATACAGACAATGGAATTGGCAATAAAAATAAGCACAAGTAAATAGCACGTCCACAATATACATATATGATTATACAGAAATGTATCGATTTGGTCCAGACATCTTTATGCATCCATCATATTTTATGCATAGCCAAATTATGTCCAATCTAGCTAATAATGGACAAAATGCTCCATTACACATACATATTAGCGGTCTACGATTTGCCAGAGTTGAGCATTTAGGACAAATTTTCTACAATTTTACCTCATACTTACCGTACCTTCTCTTTAACTAAGGTATGCATATACATATGCACATTTTTTAACTAGACGTCCAGTTCTAAATACGATTCTGCAAAATTATAGACCATTTTCCACCCCACGATTCGACCTGTGTCCTTGTCGTATGTATCATAATATTATTAAGTACACAAACACACATCCATACATATTCCATAGTCCAATGTCGTCTAGTTTCCTTGTATCTGAAAATACCCAAGATTTGCACCATTCCAACATAAAACTCTGTAATAATTCTTAATAAGTATATAAGACTTGCTGAATTAAAAGTTGACTCCTGTCCAAAAATTTTGTCATGTAATCCATCATTGACAACACATTTAATTTTATTAGAACATTACGTCTCTCCTACATAAATAAATAAATACACATCTTCTCCTCGTCTAACAAGGGTTTGCATTAACATACCAAGCTTATCCATGTACAATAAATTGGTTTAAATTTTCTACCCCAGTCAAATCACATCCGATCATCACAACTAATCCAATAAAATACGTGCATGCATAAATGCATGATTGCTTACGAAGGTAAACGGATTTACTTGACTTGATGACGCAACTCTTCCTTCTTGGCAAGTAAGTGAGCAAAATAAGTAGTCGGAGATATTTACATGGACATTTATTCATCGAATTAAAACATTATCATGCAAGTAATGTAAGTAATGTAATCACAAAGATACATACCCTCACTCACCAAAAGACTACCAAAATCTACCTCTATCTTTATTCATCCACCTTTCCTCTTTGCTCGAATGTTCATTACACACAAGTGATCTTCTGCTGGTTTGGTTTGTTAATAAGAATATTCTTTTTATTGCGATGCTGCCTGGCTGCATGTAGCACACTTGGATCTATGTACATTGAAGAGCATTTCTTCGTCTCATCTTGCTCATGTAATAGACAAAGAAGAGAATCATTGCCAGATTCAGGAGGAGCTACCCACACGAAAAGGTGCCGTAGCAAGAAGATGTCTCAGATTTCGTAAAGTCTTAAGACAAATGTCTTACTTTAACGTCAAAAATGCAAATTTTCAAAATTTTCAAGTTTCTTAAACTTAATCAGATCATTTGAAGGAGTTCTCGAAGTGATGAAATGTTCGGAAAATTCTGATTTAAATGGTTTCATACAATGTTCCCGAATCTGGAAGATGTTCCTTCTTTTTCTTACTTTTTATGCCTCTGATCATGGACTGGTTTGGTTTGAGGGGTTCGAGGCAAAGATGGTGGAGAGCATACAAAGAGATGTATAATATTGCTATATGCTTTTGTGCCAACACTGTATTTAAGCTCTTAACCATTTAATATGATACGGACAGCAGACTCACTGCATAGTGTGTGGAGTAAAAGCTCTTTTACAGGGAAGAGAGCCCATCGATTTTAACCATTTACTTACACTCTCCAACCTACTAAATGTTCACTTTGCTTGGTATAATGCCATGTTGTGGAATGGAATTATATTAAGGAGAGAGAGAGACTGGCCTTTTATTAAGGGTGGCTCTTTTTACCTCTCTTCAATACTGACTGAATAGCAATACTGAGTGAAGATTAGTTTTGTGTTTGAACAAGCAACATTAACTTTGGCTCTGTTTTACTCCATCCTATTGTTCACTCGCTGGTCAGCCGAATTCTTGAACGCGTTGTAATAATTTCAACCTCATCATAAACTATTGTATTATTATTGTTATTATTAAGTGTGTTAAATAGAATTGTGAAAAATTAACTAAAAAAAATTGTGTTAAAAAAATAACTGGAGAAAGCATTTCTCTTTCTCGAACATAAATACAAAATTGTGCAAGTTGGACGACCGAATCTACATTTTAGTTTTCTTAATGTGAAAAGACGGTGAATTTATTTTTCGGCGTGTAACCCTAGCATGGAAGAAAAATTGAGGAATGAGGACACAAAATATTTGTGGTTCGTAGCAAACGAACCACAAATTCCTAGTATGAAATGTGATTTTTATTAAAAGAAGAAGTTTAATAAACAAAGGGAACAATTGAATTCCTGTAAAAAATGGTGGAGCAATTTTCAATTTCCTGATTAAGGTTCAATAATTAATTATAATTGTGCCTCTGCTCGTGGGATTACCTAAGAGAAAATTGGATCCGAATTTCAAGGTAAGAATTTCATAAATCTATTTGCATAAAATGCCATCATAATTGTTTCCATTGTTTTATTATTATTTGTCGACTAAACTAAAATAGTGAAAGTCGGGATTTGACAATAGTTAATTGTTCCAATTATTAAAGAACATTACGCGCAATCGTTAACTAAAGTTACACGAAAAGAATTATAGTTTGAAAGGAAAACCATCCATTAGATAATATTTATGCATAATTTGACGGTGTATATATATCAACATTATCGGTTCTGTACTTGTCTATGTATATTTAATTGCTCATTAAGCTGTGTCACATTACATGAAAGAAATTACCGTCTTAAGTTCCAAAACCATCATACTAAATATCCATAATCTCTTAATGATCTTCCTTAAGTCGTATTTATTTACTGCGATACGTGACCAATTCACTCATCTTACCCATTGAAATATTATTATCCTTACAAAAATACATAATTAATATGCATTAAATATGTACATATCTCCACCTCGCCACAATTCTTTAACAGCTAATTAAATTAAATTACTGCCAACTCGAATGACCAGATTTAATTTTGACAATCATTTTATTTTTTATCGGACATATTTTTAGGCTTGAACGACTACCTCGGAAAGTTTAACATTATTAATTTGCAATAAAGTAACGTGCTTGAATAGCCAGATGATGGGCAAGCCTGATGAAGCAGACAGTTTAATAAGTTCTGTATGCAAATCAGTTTAAAAATGAGTAAGACTTTTTTTCTGAAAAATAGCACACACCTGTGCATTCAGCCAGCCAGTCTTTGATTTGATTGCACCTTCAACCAACTTCTTTACTTGGTACAAGAACAAGAGATGACTGAGCAAGATAAAATTCGCAGGTGTTGGCTGGTTAGCTTTTTTTTGCAACGTATAAGATTCTTAATGCTTATGTTAGCACATCATTTAATCGGTGGAATTTCGTTGCATATGGCAAATAAATCCGTAATTTCTAGACAAAATTGCAATCTTTTATACAATTGGAATGTTAATTTATTAATTAATTTAGAAAGTGTTCAATAAAATATGTACAAAATAGGTATTTTAAGATTTAAATTATTCAAATTTATAAGAAACCCATCAAACTACACCCAAGCACCAGGTGATTCATGGGTATCGCAATTACTATATTTTTTTCCTTTGTGAGAAGCAATTTGAAACCTGGTGAATATTTACATGAAAGAAAGCAGACTTCTTCTAACTGGAACATGCTTTTTTTTTAATATGAACAACGCCACAAAAATGCTGCAGGTAGGAGTGTATGACAGGAGTTGAAATTTATGTCCGGAATCGTGGCCAGTAATCGTTTATCAGTTTCCTAATCATGTTTCTCCCCCAATAAATCTATATTTTAATTATAATTTACGATTTTCCAAATCAAATTAAAACCCGGGGCAGTCAGTCAGTGAGAACTGAAAAGGCGAAGGAAGCAATAATTAACAGCTTTGAGAGAAGAGAAGGGAAGAAAAGAAAAATTTCATATTTAGAAAACCGGCTTTGCCTGGAGTTGTAAAAAATGAAAAATTTTCAGACGCTTTTCTACTTTCAGAACGTGGTGATTGTTCAAAATTTCGATGAAATGGAGGATGAAATGTCAGCCTTTGATTTGATACTACCACAATTTGTAGTATTATTTAGTTTGTTCACTTGATTTCATAGGTATTAAACATGGATGGAATGGAATATATTTAAATGTGCATGAAACGTGGTTCAGATTTATACAAGACATGTCCGGCACTTCTCCTGCCAGGTGAAATGACCATAACAATAACTCTTCCTTGGTTTAAAAAAAATTAGGAACTTTTCTCGTCGTCCTGCTATTGCATTGTTGGACATACATAATTCTAGATAAGTACATGCATGGCAGGCATTTATAATATTACTATTCATTGCATTTACTTTATTAATATGGAGACTGCCAACTAACTAAAGGATGCGTACCTACTTCTAACTAACTGAAGGTAGGATAGTGGTGCACATATAAATAAATAACCGTTTAAAACTGGGCAGGTTTAGTGGAGAGAACCTTTAGCCCTTCGTTTATAATATAAAAACCTGTACCAGACCCATAAATAAATGGGAAACTTCAAATGTTCAAAAACTTTGAGCCAGGCAGGACCTAAGGAAATAAGGGTCTCTTTTCTTCCTGGCATGGTGATGCACCTCGTAAAACTTAACTTTCTTGAAGAGGTTATGGTCCTTCTTTAGGGGAAAATGCGGGATTTCTTGTAAGATGGTGGGTCACCTATGTATGTAACGTATGCGTGTGATATATTTACGATACGGTTCTATTTATTAACAAAGTTGGTCATCACCTGTACATACGCATTTAGCTACCTGAGGTACATACCTGGATGTTTATACTTTCAGAACAATTTTTTGTATCATACTTTATTTTAGAACAATGCGAATTGCATTGTACACCATCGAAATGAATTTTTTTAGATAGTCCAACTCTATCAAATTTAACGTTATACATTCATAATGTTAAATGTCTATCCAACTGGGCTTACATTTAGACAATAACGACGAGCAGTTAAATTTTCAATAATCATAAAAATAAATGAGTACTGTAGGTGGTAAAAATGCAGGAGGAGGGGTGTAGACTGGGTGGAGTTCGAAATTCTTCAAAATAACAATTTTATTTACGAATTGAAAATATTTTCAATACAATTTTCTAAAGTAATGTAAATAAATACATTTTATTTATTCAAGAAGCTATTCCATGCAAATAAGTAAATGTTTTAGTTGTGTCGGTAATCCCGGAATATTTACATAGTTTACAAACATCTCTCTCTTTACCATTAACGCTTTTAACCAACAAAAAGGGTAAATCATTCCTTCGCGCTGTTTGGTCTGAGCAAATAATTTCAAGTTTTCTTTAAAGTCTGCCGAACCCTTTGAACATCCACCCCGTTGCTAATTGCTCAAGTTTAAGTTTCCCATTAAAGAGTAAAACCGACGCCGCAAGAATGAGAACAAAGTGCAAATTATTAAGTAGCCTGAGCTATTGTCGGGTGCCGGTGAACAATAGAATTGACCACGGTTTTCAGCAAATTCATGGAAAAATAGCAATAATAGTGATAAATCACAATCAATACAGTTGTCTAATGGCGTGACCACCAGGGAATAACAAATTTCTAGTAAATGAGCTTCACACCAAAAGCAAATGGCTCCATCATTTCTATAAAGTTGAGCATATTCCGAGTCCGACAGAACTCTCTGGACGAAGAAAAAAGTGCTGGATTCCACAATAATTAACTCTCTAAACTAGTTAAACGCAGTAAAAGGTTAAGCAAATCAGTGAGGAGATGATGATCCAAACCAGCGCAGACTAGAAGAAAGTAGCCATGCAGCCACTGGAAAACTATAAAATGTAAAAATGATGGGAATTATGATGTAAAACCCAGAGGCAGTTTCATACATATTCGAATACGCTTCTTCTCCTGAGAGATATAAAACTCATGTCAAAATTAAGGATTACATGTGGAACAGAAAATAAAAGAAAAAAGTAGTTCCGCTCCAAGCTCAATTTTAATTTTGATTTTTATGGCTGAACCGGACCAACTGACTCACTCACTCAAGAAACAACTAACTAAACTGATATGATACGATATTATTATGTAGTTTAGGTAGCTGAATCATCATCCTCACTATCAAACAACTCCCAAGTTATTGGTGGTGACCATTTAAAAGCTCGGGTTTCAGACAAGTGTACATTGTTAATCAGGGCACAACCTGGATCAAAAAAGCTGTTGGACATCGATTATGTACAAATCTATGGGCACAACACAATTCATATGCAAATTAACAAAGCATTCATGATACAATCAATTCTTATATTATTTTATTTCTGTCATATTTCTCACTGGCCGCGGAAGCCGTGGGGACATTATCATTGTAGGATATGGGAGGGAGGGGTTTGTATAATATGAGCAGATGATGGGGACATCGAATAACCCGTGGGGACATTGTCCCTCTGTCCGCGGTCACTGATATTTCTATATTTCCGAGAATTTGCCACCGAATTTTATCGCCTCCACGAATCTTTCTCCTCCTACAACAAGCAATTGTTATAAGCTTTTCCATGCTTCACTCACTCACCTGACTCTCTTTTCATCATACGACTGGCCTGGCTTGGGTGGTTAGTTAGTTAGTAAAGTGAGTTTAGAATGAGGTTTTACTCAATCACCTTCCTCCTCCATGCCTCCCTTTAGCCTTTGTATGAAATGAAATGGTCATTAGAAAACCTGTAATTAAGTGGCGTCTGGCGTCATATCACCCTTAAACCTGGTAGACGTTACCCTGTTCCATACGATACGACGTTTGTACTACGCATCTAACTCTCGTATCCCTTCATGCATACTGCTTCTAAATAGTAGTGCAGCAAAGCTAAAGATTTTATGAACACTGCATACAAAACAAATCCTATTTGGAATTCACGTTTGATTCCAATCAATTTTCAGTTCCAGGTAGGCTCACAGGGGAAAAAGTGGTCAAAGGGTTGCAGACGAGAAGGTTGCTGGTAAATGGCATGGGAATTGAATTAATCTTTAATCTTGTGCATGGAAACATTGCACCGCCTCCATAATATTTTTCATGCATATGTGTCGAATGGAATCTTTTGCATCATAAATAACTAAAAAAAATGGGCGGACCGGCAAGGTCGTTTACGTTTTGGGACGATATAAACCACGACGAGTGGGGTTTTTAGGGGTAGAGTTGACCTTTAGCATTCCAGGAATTTATTTTTGATAGAAAATTCAGGAACTTTTTTATATCTAATTCTTGGAGAAAGTACCTGCAGTAGAATGATTTAGTGAGGTACCTGGTTTTCAGTCAGATATGATCTCGAGGGATTAATCGTTTTATGTAAGATTACATAAATAAAATTAGAATTATACAAGTTCCAATTAGTTAATTAGGGTTAAATTTAATGTGTTAATTTATAATTGCACAAGTACATATGTACCCATTTCAGAAAAACCATTATCATCTTCCCACACCACGCTAATTTACATATTTTCCTTTTAAAATGGACATTAAAACACTTTTAAAGACTCAGTTTCCCACACCCATTAACTTTTGACAGTAAACATTGAAAGTAATTTAAGAAGGAGATCAACAAAAACAGCTAATTCAACTGATCCCCAAGTTCATCGCAATACAAATTATAACGAGTATTTATTAAATGATATGCAAATGCACTGTCACCTTCACCTCCAATTAAAACGAGAAAAAAGGATGAATGAACGGAATATCTTTCAATCTCAGTCCAAATTCAGATAAAACCAAACTTAGCATTTCAATGAATGGTAGCAGATCAAATTTCCAAGGTTGGGCCCGTGAGTGACGACAACTGTGTTACTGTAAATTCTTGCCTCGAAATCTGATGGTGTAGGAGTACACATTTCTACCAATGAATTACACAAGTGTTATGTTGCATGATTCTGTATATCAAATCAAACCCACAATTTCTGAGAGAAAGTTCCCACGCAGGGCAGGCAGGCCTAGATCTAAATACGTGATGTGGTGTAAGCCAAGCCACGCGACAACGTATGGATTTTTTTCCCCGAAATAATTAGAATTCTGTACAATATTCAGTCAGCATTTTGATTGTGTCAAGTACGGTTTGGTTTTGTGGTTTGGTTAGGTAAAAAGTTGTATCTTTTGGATCAACCACGGCGGAATTTTTTTTGTATTTAATTTGAAAATTTTGACCACGTACTTCCTCCAGCGTTTTCTTCATCTTCAAAAATCGGGTATGTACATTTATGGGTAAGCTCATCATAAACTTTTCCAGCCCTAACTTAACTTGTCCAACCTCTTTCTGCTGGCTGGCCGTCATTCTGAGACGGCCTGGCCTGGATTTGACGTTGACGTGACAGCTAGAATAAAAATTCTTTCAAAACTGGACTATGGTTTGACGGGTTTAGAAAGATTCTAGTTCATCGTATGGTTTAAGGGATCAAATCAAAATGAAAACTAATGAAACGTCAATTTTTGAAAAGTGGGCAGAATTTTGTGAAATTTTTTGTCGATAGTAAATTCTTTGAACTCCTAATTTTTAGAACAACTTTAACGTCGGCAATGATTTTTGTGCAGAATAGGATTAATTGATAAGGTCGGGTTAGATATGAACACCACTTGCGAGACAAAACTTAAGATTAAATTTTTAATCTCTCCTCTTTTTACACTCTGAAAATATGCCTCGTTTGTATTAAGCGACGCGTCACTCACTCTCTTAGGAATTTGAAACCGATCATGCTGATCAATCCCCGAAATAAAATTCCATAATTGAATTACCAGCCGAAAAAAAATCAAGCATCACTTCAAATCTTGCATACCTCGTGTCAGTCGCCATTCCATTGCATCTCAATCGTCTACATACATACGTAATCTAATGGAAAGTTGGACATCTTTGAAGCGTGAAAATTTACCTCCTCCTCCTCTCTCCGAAGTCAATATCTCTGATTACAATCACAGATTTCTCCTCCTTGACACCGACGTCTCCTGGAGATGAATGCAATTCATGCCACACCATATTTGAATAACAATACTGCGGAAAAAATCGTGTAAACGGGTGTAAGTAGAGGTTTAATGATTTGATATGAAATCAGGGGAAATGAATGGACCGGTTAAAAACGGATATTCAATTCGTATCAAGTTTGGAATTTGTATACCAATTTTTTCCTACTTATTATCGACCAAGAATGATGACCACTCGAGATAGATGAGACAGCGAGACAAACCATTCTTTCGCACTTGCATCTCAGATTTAAAGCTTGATGTTATGTAACTTGAATGGATTGGACATTACATTGGTCTGTTCTATTCAAGAAATAAGAGACCGCAGGATAAGTAAAATGCATGCATGGCAGATGATGAATGCCTTTTCAAATTTGAATTCTCTTATTATTACTTCCATCAAGTCGAGCCTCCAGCCCAACTTTACATAGTTAGTGTGGAATTATGTGTGTCTTTGTATGTGTAGAATCGACCCACAAGAAGTGCAACTTGCTGCATGTGCATCTCCAGGAATTTGATTATATTGCAGAGAAGCAATTTTACAAGTTTTAAACAGGCTGTGATTGTAAAATGTAGACATATTTTTATGCTAACTTTAACTCTTCCTCCTATGTATGAATTTGGAATTTGAGAAATACGTCCATGCATTCATACTAATGACCAACTTATCAATTACATAATCTAGCATGTGCAGTTCTCATCAATTTTGCAGGACCTACGTACATACATACACCTCAAACCTTGTACATTACGTAAGCCCTCGTTAGAAAGGGAGTTATATTCTTCCTCACAAGTTTTAATAATCGCATCTCTCATCAGATCAAAAAAGCTGACTGATCATAAATTTGAGATTAGATTAATTTTAAGATTCTTTCCTATCCCTCTGGACTGGACTGGGTCGCAAGGAAATAAAATATGAGTTATTGTGCCATTGTCAGAAAGAGAAGCGAATGATGCAAGTCAAGGGATGAATCTTTAAACAGATTAGAATTGGAAGTGAAGTTGAAGGCATGAAATTCAAAGGCACCTTCTTGCTTTTCATCCTTCTATATACGAGAAGAACAACACAACAATGGTACATACATAAGTAAACGTATAGAAATGCATGTGACGGCCTGTAAAAAACATGCTCGGCGCCAGTCCTTGGTCCAACTTTGGATTTTTGAAACTGGAATCCTATTTGAAAATAAGGTTCGGTTGTTAAGTGTTATATACGGAAGGAGGTTGGGCTACAACAAAAGTCCAGTCTACGCAATGCTTTTCTTTTCTTGATCAGCCAGCATTTCTTTTTCTGTGCCTGCTGAACTGAACTGAAATTCTATCTGGTTGAATATCTCTAAGACGTTCTTGCTTATGGATGGCAACCGTACGACGAAGAAGAGGGTGAAGTTTCAACCAGCTTGGGTTTCATATCTTGGAAAATGAAAACCAAAGCCCTTTTGGCTGCAGTCGTAAGTGTTGATGGGCTAGAAAGGAAGAAGGCATCTTTTTCTCGAACTGTTAGTTAGTTGACTTGGTGGGAGAGCAGGAACGAAACGTGTATTTTACTAGTTTTGTAAATGAAATGGGAACAGTCATGATGATTTTTGGAGAATAATGACAATTGAAATGCATGGTTTTGCATAGATTTATTTCGCATTTTCGAATTATTTTTAATTGTTAATTGGTTAAAGCATATCTAAAGGGCATTAAAATCTGCGAGTCTTTCACTTAAAAGCTTTCCTCCTAAATAAATAAATATGTACGAAATTCTCTCATTTGATGACGTCTCGGATCTTATGATGACCACGAACCGGATAACAACGCACAGTTTGTTAAAGTATAGTACAAACACCGTTCTACTGTTATACATACTGCTCATTTTCACGAGTTCATGAAGGTGCTGCATACAAGTGGACCTTCGACTGAAGGGCCCTCCCTCACTTAAAAGCGGTTTGAAAGTGTGAGACTTAAGTTCTGACTTTGAACTGAGGATGGAGCACGTTTACTTACTTTTAGTTTACGTGACTTGAACTTTTACACTTGGAAAGTTGTTGTTCTGCTCAGCAAATCAATTTGTCCCACTAACGACTTATGTTACACACTCTGTAAGTAACTGCGTCAATTAAAATATGCAAGAGAAGAACGAATTGACATTATAATCCGAAAGGTCACGTCACGTTACATGAATGATCATATCTTCTGATAGTGACATTTTAGAATTATCCTCTCTGACTGACACTACGAAGACGAGACTGACACTAAGAGGACAGATCGTAACTATTGTCATCTTTCGTATTTACGAATGTTAGCTAAGTAAACAATAGAAGGTCAAAAATGTCATCCTCCGTGTGACTTTTTGTCTCCAGTTTCCAGCCAACTTTTAACTAATGCATAACTTTACAAATAATAATGATGATAATTGTTGATTGCAGGTGTACGTGCAGCAGTCCAACTAACGAAATTGTCGTCCTCTGCCTGACCGTCCATTGGTTACCTGCCTTCCACTAATGCTTGACTGTGACAAATTTTCCGTCATCATAAAAGGTGAGGATTAAAAAATTAATGCTAAGCCTGCCTGACACAACTTTAATTTGAAGACATCCGTGAAAAATTTGCATCTCTATAAATTATTTACGACTGACATCAAAATTGAAATAAGTTGGTCTTCTCTCTTGACCCTTCATTTTCAAATTAAGCAGAATTCTGCAGTTCGTTCATCTGGAGGAATCTCCCTCACGCAATAATCATCATAATTACCATTATCATAAAATAAGTCAGAATTTACTTACGTAAATTTAAATTCCGTATTAAAAAAGAATTCCGTTATAAAAATTAATGGCATGTTTAAAAGGGAAGAATTAAAAATTCCACGTTTGGTCATTCCGGCGACTCCACTCTGGACTCCTGTGGATGAGCTATTTGTCATTTTAATTTTAGATTTAACATTTGACCACTATCTTATAATAAACATCTATACAGCACATTAAAATTTATTAAAATGATGATCCATACATTAATCAGGTGTAAATATAAATAAGGTGTTTACTACTTCATAACTTATGAAGGGATTTGTTCCGTTCGTGTCGTACAAATTTAGTTTTTTGGTATCATTTGCTTCATAGAAGAGGAAATCTCATTCCATTCCTTGAGATGGGATGACTTGTGTAATAAGTTGGGCATCATGATATTCCTGTGGATGAGGACTCTGGACAGAATTCCATCCAAGCAGAAGGACCCATGCTGAGCAGAACAAATCATATAATCATAAACGCGACTCAACGCGAGAGTTGGGATGATGCGCATTCCAATGGTCTGGTGGGGTTTAAGGTTTTGTAAAAGTGGTGATCATGACTTGGACTTCTTCAAGGTACGAGAGAGAGAGGTGCTCAGCCTATAAATAAATAAATATATTTACTTGTACATACATAAATTGTCAGAGAACTGATAAGCAAAAGGATATCTTGACTGGTGAAAATGTACAGAAATTAATTGTGTACATGAATGACCTACATTTTACAATTTGCTACTTTATTTGTCCGTAACAAGATAAGTGGTTGATTTGATCACCGACTCGGACAATTTAGAAAATTGTCGCCCATTATCTCATTTCATTGAAGGGAGGGATACATACAGGCTATCATTTCATTTGGATGGAGTATACCGACCGACGTCAATTTACTTGCCCACTTGAGACAGTAGAGACAAAGACCACTTGTGTTCTGTACGTGTTACATGAATATTACGTGAAATATGTACCCCTGTAAGTTTCCACTGCTTCTTTTTTTCCTCCCTTGTTCACATCATCATCATCCCGTAAATAGTTCGTGCACCAAATTTCTGTCAATCGACCCGTACTCGTCGCAGTGGCGGCGGAAGCGTGAGGACAGAGGGACAATGTCCCCACGGTTATTCGATGTCCCCATCATCTCCCCATGTTATATAAACCTCTCCCTCCCCTATCCCACAATGTTAATGTCCCCACAACTTCCGCGGCCACTGACTCGTCGTGTGCAACGAAAGCAAAAGAAAGCGCTTTTAAAAAATGCTGCAGTGCGCCGTGGTCACGAACGAATTGCCAAGAAGCGATTATCTACTTATTAATTATCTTGTTATTATTAGGTCAATAATGGCACAGATGTTGGAATATCATCCGTCACTCTTTTAATTTTTCTATGTTTCTTTGCCAAATATGTTTTGAAATAAGAAGTCGTACAACCATATCTTCACTTCACCCTCAACCAAATTACAAACTTGGTCACGAGGAATGGTTCACGAGATGTAATTACAAGTGACAGGGAAAGGAGAAAAGTTGACGTGAACTTGGCAACAGTTTACGTCAACGACGTCCCATATGTATTTATATACCAGTTGTTTTATCATATCACATCTTTCCGTCAGAGACGAAGAAAGGAGGGAAGAAGATGACATGGCACGACCTAAAATAATATGGCTTATTGGCATCGAAAATACGGTATTATGAAAAGTGGCCGTGATCTCTAAAAGTATTGGTTGCCTTTGTCGATGGGAAAACAAGTGTTAAGTTAAGGATGGCCGAGATGAGGTACAGTTAGTACAGGAGTAAGCTACCCATCCTTATTTAATGGTCAGATTGCCTGGTTTTCAGCCCTCTTCTTGGAGATACAAAGTTGATAGTTGGTGGTTCTGTACATGCATTTCATACAACACCATAATAAGTAATGACTTTGTTGGTGGTCTCTTTTGGTAGTAGTAGTAGTACGAAGAAGTACCTTTGACTCTTCAATTTTTGGAAACCTGATCTTTATAATGGGAATCATCATAACTGCCACCTGTGCCATGCCACCTTCTCACACACACTTATTCCCATATTCATCATCACTAATACGCGAAAAGGTTGGCAGTTAGTTAAAATTACACAACTACATAAAAACCGATAAATAATGGGGAATTGTAGTAATCCATTTTTCTATATTTGAAATTCTAATTCATTTGCAAACCAAAATTTGCTAATTTGCAAGTTCAAGCGTGTAAAAATTGTGCACCTTCTGTTCGCATATGCAGTCAGTAATAATTCATGGTTGAGAATTATTAAATTTGAATCAGCGTGTCCAACTGCAAAATGTTGTTGGCGAGGATTTTTAATGGTTCATAAATATTCAGAGAGCGACATAAATAACAGGCAGGCAGACAGACGCGGATTGACTATAAATGGAATAATAATAAAAAATTGGGGGTTATTTATTTTGAAAAAATCCACCTTGCTAAAAATGAGTAAGACTGGAAAGTAATTTTTAAACGCGGCTCCTTCTTCCATTCCATCGGCATCCTTCCTTTAACAACTCCGTTACGAATTTACATTATAAATTTTAGTGTTTGAAAAAAACAGCATTTTTCAATTGTTCTTTGACCATGAGTCGTGACACGTATATTGTGGAAAATTCAATAAAAATACATAATTTCCCCCCTTTCAAGTCTCCGGGCACGATTGTTCTCCATACGGCGGATATTATGTACTGCACTCTTAGAAATCCGGTATTAAAATGATACCAAGCCGTACTCATGTATGACTATACCAAAGTGGTATTAATAAGTAATACCTCGGTATTAAAGTTTTACCATTTCGGTAACAAATTTTTGCGGACCGGTATAATTTTAGTACCAAGCGGTAGCATCTTTAATACCGAGAAATCTTTAACTATACCAGATTTCTGACAGTGTGGAGTCGTGCATATTCTCCATGATTCAGCCGGATGACTTTTGACACCTTAAAGTGCAAAGCTCTGTGTACATGCTAAAAGAATAATAAAAACGGAACTGGAACAATATGGCGTCGAAATGAAACTGTTGTTGGAGTAGACATAACAGAGACGGAAAGCAATGAAACCTATTTTTCAAGAGAAATAAGAGCCAGACAGACAGGAGACCACGATTAAATAATAATGTTAGTGTGGTTGGTTTAAAGTATGTGTATTCCACGAAATGGATGATGATGTAAACCATGTATTTACATAGTAAAAATTATCGTGATGCACAGACTAGAATACACTCACATAATTTCTTTGTTCGTGCATATGTACTTAAGCAGAAGGACCTTTAACTCACAGGAGTCCAGGTGGTTTCAATCAGTTATGGTTGGTTTTCTCCGGTTTGGTTCGTTTACCGATTTAATTGATGGAAATGTCAAAGTTTTAAATGTTAATGTTCCCTCTTACATCATTAGTCTGAGAACAAAAGATTTTAATTTGGTCGGTTTTCATGACGCATCGAAAACTAAAGGGCGAATTTCAGAGACAAATTTCTATTTTCTGGTATTTCGTAGTGTAGAATATTATTTATGGGCATCGATGTGTTTGATAACTTATTTAGGTAACAGACATGGATAACTTAAGACTGGTTGGAAAATTTGATCCCAAATGGAATGCCTAATTACTTTGCCAAACTTGTCAAAATTTCCCTCATTTTCTATTTACTTTGTTGTGAGTGAAAGGGCTCATTATACAAATACATCACCAGAAAATCAACCCAACTGGCAATTTGAAACGTTACATACATTTGTGAACCTTCATTTATTTACGAGGAGACTGAGAAATGAATGTGTTTTTTTTTCAAGAATTTAGAATTTTGGTCGTGTTGTGCATCATTTCCTTGAGTGACATGACATGGGCAGTTTCTTCTCTGCAGAGGTAGGACGTAGGAAGGAGGTGTCAAAGGACAAGAAACACATGTCTTGTCCATGTCCTCGTAGTACCATCAGACTTGGGAGTGGAAATCTTTGAAATCTAATATCGACCCCTAAGGCCAGAAGTCATGCATAACGAACAACAATAAGTAAATATCAAAATTTTACAAAATTTACAAATTGTGTGGGGAAACATAATTTAAAACTGGACAATTTTATGAAAACTTCATAAAACTACTTTAATAACACTGCTTATCATTAAATGGGTTTATCTTGCGCACTTTATCTTGCACACTCCTCCATGATCCTTGAGCCTCTCGGTATGTGTTCTTCTCATCCTCAAAGCCGAATCTATGTAGTGAATTTAAATCTTAACTAAATTCCAGGCTGATAAACCCCACAAGAAAAAAAGTTGGTATATCCAAACTCTATTACGGCGCAGAGAATAAAAATATGATTGGAAAACCCGTATGGGGTAACAAAACGAATGTGCAGGATTCACCAGGAAGCAGCGTGTGGTGGTGTCTGTAATGAAAAATTATTATAAATGGGCCTTGAGGTTGAGCCTGGCTGGTGTGAAATCTGGGTGGAAACCTTAATTCGTTATGATTACATAACGTCCTGGCTAACTTTTAACCTCAGACTGAACTTGGGAGGAAACAGGTTTCCTCCTATTTAAATCTTTTTAGCCTATTAATATCTTTTCATTTCTGGATCTCAGATAAAAGATATCCTCATTAATCTCACGCTGTTTCTAGTTCTGGTCAAAGTGTCAGTTTACAAATCGGGATAAAAATGAAATGGAATGAAATAAAACAATTTATTTATATTTTCAAAACGTGGGTTTTTATTGCTAGAAAATTTTATGAGGAAAAAGCTGTAAACA